CCGGCCACGCGCACGATGATGGACATCATCTTTTCGAGGCTCTCCGGCGTGAGCGAGACGATGGCCGCGTCGTCAGCGTAGAGCATGTCCCACAGGGCCTCTGCGACCGTCACCATCATCGCCTTCTTCCCCGCCGACCTGCCCCTCTTGCCCGTGCACTCCACTCGTGTTGCGATCTTGATCATATCCGCCGTCACCTTGGGGTCCTTGTCGAACTCGGTCACTGCGACCATGCGCATCGCGGCAGAGAACAAGTTGAACAGCAGCGGGGCCAGGTTGCACCCCTGTCGGAGACCTTGGCCGACGTCAAACCATTCCGAGTACTGCCCGTCGTCCGTTCGAACCCGCGCCCTCATGCCCTCGTGGAAGTGGCGAATGACCGCCAGCATCTTCGGGGGCACGCCAAAGCGTCCGAGCACGTCCCACAGCAGATCTCGGTCCACCGAATCGTACGCCTTGGTGAGATCGACGAAGCACGCGGAGTCTAGTGTGGGGTTCTTAACCGAGCTCACAAATGGTGCTCAAGTTCTTGGATTTTGATGTTTTGCGAGTCTCAATTTCTTAACTGCTAAGTTCTTAAGTGCGGGCGCTATCTGTACCTCTTCGGAACGGTGTACCCTTTTGTTGCTAATAGTGTGTGTGTTCCTTAGATCTTCTGATGGCTCTAGCATTTTTGTGACCACGGACCGAGTCTTTGCTAGATATTGGGATTATCAACCGACACGAGTTGAATGTGAAAACAATAACAACAACAACAACAACAACAACAACAACAACAACAACAACACCTTTCTTCGCCATTCTACGCAGAAAAAATGATAAAGCAAACATATCGGATAAAGTATTTAATAGGGTCTGCGTGCCCCCTCCCTATTTTTTTCTTGATACTCTGAAATCTCCTCTGGTTCAGTAAGCGTGCAGCCTAGCTGTACAGCTGTACATCCCTTTCTCGGAAGCATCTCTACAGATCACGCGCAGGTGAGTAGCCCGGACCACACCTTGGCAGGGGTGGGAGATCAAGCACGGTCGTGGAGACCATTCTTAACAGCAGAGGGAAGAAAAGAGGGGAGTCGGGTCTGTGCGTTCGCTTTTTCCGTGAGGTGGTTACGCGGTGCGCAAGTTACTGCCGCGCTTGTTTTTGACCCGCTGAGGTTGAGTTCTCTCGCGGCCTGCCCTGCCAGCCTGTTTGGCCAGTGGAATGTAATAGCGGTGTCCCCACCCTTCTGATTCCGTGCAACCTGTGCCAGCTGCTGTTGCGCCGCAACGATTTCGTGTGTACCGCCCTGTCGGCTGTATTCGCTTCGTTGGCTTTTTCCGACGGTGCCGTCTTCGCAACCCCGACGCTGTATCGTAGAAAGTGCATCTACACTCCATTCCATCAACGCAGGCGACCGCGCAGCATCTCCGAAAGTCTGCCTGCCGGAAGCTTGATTTTGAAGGAAGCAGTAGCAGCAGCACGGACAGCAGTGTTCGCGCCACCCCTACCAAGACTTTTTACCGCCAACTGTGTACGTCGCTCAGGCCCACGGCTTGGTGCCGCATGACTGGCATGGGCCCGTCTCATCGAAGCCAGTTCTTCTTTGACACCCCGACCAACATCAAATCCTACCAAGACCACCCCGAGCAGGAACAGCAGCAGCAGCAGCAGCAGCAGCAGCAGCAGCGGTGGCGGCGCGATGGGGGCGTCATCTTCACGCACCTGTTTTCCGCCCCGCTGGTCGAGCAAAAAATGGCGCCAGGGGGCAGCGGCTCCGTCTTGGTGGAGAAGGTGGACAAGCTCAGCTACGAGGAGGAGCGCGACACCCTTCACCGGACCCTCGACAACGCGGACAAACGGGTGCGCTTTCTATCGGAGGCCGCAAACACCAGGTCCTTCGCCCGCGCCGTGGGGTGCCGCGTGCCCCCGTCCCCCCCCCGCGCTAGCAGGCCGGGGAGCGTCGGCAGCAGCTTAAGCGCTGGCAGCATGAGCAGCAGCAGCAGCAGCAGCAGCAGCAGCAGCAGCAGCAGCAGCAGCGGTGGCGATGCCTCGGCAGCAGAAGGAGAGCGAGAGTGCCGCATCGTCCACTTCACCGGGCATGGCGTGCCCGGCGAGCTGACCTTCGAAGACGATAGCGGGCAGCTGCAGTACGTGGGCGAGGCGGAGCTGCTATCGATGCTGCTTCGAGGGAGGAAAGAGTCAGGCGGTGGCAGCGGCGGCAGCGGCGGTAGCCGTAAGCACCTGGGAATGCCCGCCCACGCGGCGGCGGCGCCGGCAGCGGCGCCGGTTCCGGGATGTTACGCCGGGGAGTTGGGGTTCGAGGGGGGTATCGGGTACGCCCCTTTCGTAGATGTCTCCGAGAGCGTGGAGCCGGAGGCGAGGCTAGGGGGCGGGGAGGGTGCCCCAAGAACAGGGCTGCAGCTGGTGTTTCTGAGCTCTTGCCACTCGCAGAGCGTTGCCAAGTGCTTCATCGAAGCGGTGAGTTTGTTGTCATTAGCTGCATGTGTCCTTCGAATGTACCATATGCTGGTAGACTGCTCGTGGTAGATGTTTATTTGCTACTACTGCTACTTATTTTGTAGTCCGTGTGTAAGCCCGACACACTTGATACGGGGGGTTTGGGCATGAGGGAAAGGGACCGAAGAACGGTGCGGGCGGCGTTGCGAAAATGCGTTGATGGTTTACGGGGTAAATTTTACCCGTGTCATGTCAACTCCTTTCGCGAAAAAGTGCCAGCAGCAGACACGCGGCACCTGTTCCGTGTCCGCTTCCTTGCCACAACAGCACCCATTGTCCCTAATTGTCTGACTCCACAATAACTTTCGGACTCAACACCCTTCACCATGACGAATTTTCCCCCGGCTTATGTTTAACGGCCCTTGCGCACACGTACGTACATCAAGGGCCCACGGTTTGCAAGGAGTCGTCGTCAGTCTTTTTTGGCGTGGTGCTCTGCTGAGCTTCCATCCCACTTCCACGACACCGTCCTGTTCTTAGGGCTCCATTCCATCGCCACGACCCCGCCTCGTCCCGTCCCATACGAACGCCACTATCTAACGTTCTTTGCCCGTGTTCTCTTGGGTGGGGTTGGCGTCGCGTCTTTGTCCCCCCCCTGGCGTATACCCCCTCACGCAGGGAGTGCGGCATGTCATCGCCGTGAAAAAGGATTCAAAAGTTTTGGACCACAAGGTGAGAGGCGGCGAGAGCGGCGGTGGTTTCGGCGTCGCTCCCGTCAAGCCCTGCTCTTGATTTCGTTTTCTCTCGTGTGCTGTTTTTTATCCGCACCGCTCCGCCGCATGTGTGGGTGAGGTGCAAGCTTCAGCGGCGGGTTTGTCTTGTAGAACTCTCGATGGAACAGCCACTAAATTATCCTAGCTACAGCGCGCTGCATCTCTGTTGTGTTTTCGAGCCATGTAAACGGCTCCATTATCCTGTAATAGCAGGCATTTATCCATAATAGCCATATTTGGTTTTACATTGAGTACTGTAAGCTGCGGATAAATTCCAGCAAGCAAACCCTGAACAACACTCGGATGAACTATGTTGTATGGTAGAGCGGTTTCCCAGCTTCTTGTCCCTTTGCCGGCCACGCTGGTGCGTATTTGCCTCGTGGTTGTGTGACATGCTGACAGGCTGATGGGCAAGGTTTTTGTGTATGCGTGCTGGCCTGTTGAGCCGATCCCGCCGTGACCTTGACGCCTTCTGCTCCCTTTTTCTCCTCTCCAAAACATGATTTAGAAACCTAGCGGTCTCTCCGCCTGCTGCATTTGTACCGTGCGTTGCCAATCCTTGTGCCGGTGTAACATCAACTGTTTCGCTCGCGCAGTCCGTTTTCCTGGAGTTATACTTGTACATACCAATCCCTATGTGGTAGCTGCTGGCGTTGATTGATCGTTTTTTGTCTTCTTCTTTGGACGACCAGGCGGCGGAGTTTGCCAAGTCGTTCTACGCCTCTCTGCTACGCGGAGACACGGTTCGGCGGGCGTTTTTGCTGGGGAGCGCATGCCTGGAAGGGTCCGACCAGCCTGAGGAAGGGCACAAATTCCTGTCAGTGCGGCCGTGGCGACGGCCGGGCAGCCTTTCAGCCGTTGCAGACAGTCATTTTTATGATAGCTTGCCGTAGGGTTGCTTCTTGGGCCACCTCGGAAAGATGTCTCCTGTTGTTGTTCTCCATCAGCACTTGTTCCGTAGACCCGCTGCTGCTGCTGCTGCTGCTGCTGTTAATGTCGGCGTTGCTGTTACTGTATTTTCGTCTGGATGACAGTGCTGTGCTCTCATAAGCCCACTCCGGAGGAATCACTTGTGGACCAAAGACACTCGGACTAGCCACCGATATGTGTATACCACAAAGGAGCTGGAAGTTCTCCATGCCGTCAACACGAACAACAGCAGTCCCATCACCACTTGTGCCTTACGCGTACCTCTTTCTTCTCTCTTTGTCTCGGCAGCCTCCTCCCCCTGGAGGGTGATCACGACATTCCTGTGTTCGAAGAGGTCCCTGACGGGCAGTTCGTCGATGCCACGCCGCTCAAGCCACCGTACCGCTGCGACGCCGTCACCCAGTATTTCTGGGGCCGAGCAGTGGATGTCCAGAAGGTGTGATGTGCGGTATCACGTGTGTGTGTCTCGATACCTCGCGTGTTGTTTTGTGTTCCTTTTTTGTGCTTTCAGCCTCGTGTGTGGTACTTGCTATAGTTGGTTGGCAGACATGCGTGTGTGGTATAATGTTGGCAGCTGTCGTGGGCGGTGGTGGTTATGTTTGTTGTTTTGGGATTCCACGTGTGGATAAAACAGATGTGATTATGTACAAATCATACGGTGTAGCTGTATTTTGTTTTTTTTTGTCGATTTTTCATGTTTCGCACTTCCCCCCGATCGTTCGATGCATGTTGGATGCAGACGTGAATACTTTTTTTTCGGGTTCGGGTTGGCTTTGGGCGATCTCTCGTTTTCAGCTGTGGCCTGAAAAGAAGCCCGATTGCTTCTTCTTTTCGCCGCACTCAGCTGGCGCTGGGTTCAGAACCCGCAAAGTTTGCACTTGCTGGAAACAGAAGACAGACCTCTGCAGCTCTCGTGGTCATGGAGTTGTGTTGCTTCACACAACTACCAACTGAACAAGCACGTACACCCAAGCCAACGAAACAGTAGTGGCACGTTTCCGAGGAACTGACGCTCGTTGCTAGTGGCCTGCCTGGACAGACGTCAATAATAACCGTGGCAATGAACCATGGTTTCCCGTGGGGTCTGTCCGCAAATGCACCCCAATCGTGCAGGTGGTGAAGCACATGGTAAGTGGGGTCCCATGCGTGACAATCACCGGCCAAAAGGGCATCGGAAAGACCCAGGTGCTGCTGAAGGCGTGCGCGTACACACGGGAGCGGAACGTGTTCGGCGAGATATTTTTCTGCCGTTTGGACAGGGCGGTCGGCGGCAACGATGCCTGCAACTGGCTCGAGGTCAGTGATATAGCCTTGGCAAGGTTCTCCTATTAGGTAGACGTGTTGGTGGGATGAAGCATGCAATCGGGGAAGGTGGGATAAGGATAGGGTCTGCATACCACCCTCTGTTGTTTTTTCCTCAATGGCTAATCTCTCGCAAAGGTGGTTCATTCGAGGTGGGTACTTACGCAGCAAGTCGAGTCAAGTGAAGGCGGCCTCAATCACGACGAGGGAAGGACCTTTTTGGTCCCGTTGTGTAGGCGTGTGTTGGGACTCTGACAACGCATGGTCAAGGTCTGCCTGGTCCGGAAGAGACTATCGCCTGCGGCGACCGTTGAAATGGCTTGACTGTCAGGCTCCGCGGCGAATTAGCGCCCATCTTGTGGATTCCGACGACAGACCTGCAACGCGGTGCCAATCAAATCGGAGTTCGCACCAGCATCGGGTGATGGGATGAAGGAAACTGCCGGCGCGTGCTGTTGTAGCGTTACCACTGTTGTACTCCGTGTTGCGTAGTACATGTGTTGCACCCCCTCGGCACTGACAAGACAACATGCGCCACGCACGCACGACAACCCCTGCTTCTCTTGACAACCCACACAGCAAGGATTCCAGCTCCCGGCCGGCTCCCTCGTGGCGCACAACATGGACGGGGTCGTGGCCAAGATCTCCCAGCACGTCAGGGACCTGCTGCAGGCGCTCAAGGAGCAGGGCTCCCACCCCTCCCGGCGCGCTCTCCTCGTTCTCGACGGGTGCAGCCAGCCCGTGGTTATGGTCGGCGAGGAACGCTTCTTCCTGAGCCGCTTGCTCTCGCGGCTAGTAGACGTGCTGAGGACGGAGGGGGTGACCCTCACGACCGCAGTGACGATGCGGGCCAAGGGCCCCATGGCGCCCGGCCGCGTCGGAGTCCCCGGAGAGAAGACGGTCGTTGTAAAGCCGCTGGACGCTAGGAGGTGCGTTTTGAGACACCTTGTTTTCTTTTTTCTTTTGCAGCCCGCGGGGCTGTTGTGTCTTGTGGGTCGTTGCTTGGTTGCTTGGTTGCTTGCTTACTTGCTTGCTCGCTGGCTCGCTTGCTTGCTTGCTTCCGTGTGAGGTGTCGGGGAGAGAGGCGTTTCGAGGTGGGGGGTCGGGTGTGCTCAGAAGGGCAGAAGCCTTGGTTGTGGTGTGGGCAGTGTTGGGGGTTGGGGGGGTGTAACCACTTTTGGTGCGGGTGGCGGTGTCTCCCTGAGTCGTATCGCACCAAATACTTGTCTCGTTATATCTCTCGCTCCCTCTCTCCTGTCCAACAACGTCCACGTATTCCTCACCTTCTTCCCTGCTCGCGCGGTCTTCCTACTTTCTCTCTCTCTCGGTGGATCGATCCATCACCCGTCTCCGCATCGTGACGGCTCTGCCCCCCCCCCCCCCCCCCCCCCCCCCCCCCCCCCCCCCCCCCC